GGCAACAAAATCTAGCTAGAGTTTATTAACAGTGTTTGGTTTTCATGGTTCCCCTCTATTTATGGCAGGTGACCCCAGTCTTCCACGTGCAGTAATGGCAGCAATACAAAATTTTCTTTAAAAATAAATGTATTTGAGTTTTAGAAGTAATTCGATGTCAAAAAAAAATACTTAGTAAAGAATAATACACCTGCTATTCAGAAGCGCAGGAATCACAACGGCGACGTATGGAAAAAATAAATAACCAAGTCGTTTGGTAAGATATGGAAGATTTTGGCTTGCCAGCTCCTCAGGAGCTCTTCTGATCCAGGACTCATCTCCTCGCTGGCCCTCAGCACGCTTCCTTCCCCACTACTGGCTTATTCAGTTTAGTACAGGAAAGCCCTCAGATGTCACCTAGCCCAACCTTGCATTTCACGGATGAAGACTGAGGCTCCAAGAAAGAAGGTGGCTTCTTTAAGGTTGTATATAACATTATAGCTGTCCAGCAACCAGCACCTAGTGTTACAGCACAAAATTGGGGTTCTCTTGCCTGATACGCATAAAAAAAGCCAATTATTACGGCCTCAGCTTTTGGAAAAAGAAATGTAGCTTTATTTTGTGAGCTGGATCTGAAAGGAGTCAGGGGGCATGTGTCCTCAGATCTGTCTCCCCAATCCACGGCTTGGGGCACAATTTATGGGATGAAGGGCAGGGCAGTCTGAAGTGTGGAGCTAGGTCCTTATCTCCTATAGTCAAAAAGGTCACTCATCGAGCATCTGCACAGGCCCAGTTGATAGATTGGTGGCCTCATCCGGCCTGAAGTGGACAAGGGGTCTCAGCTCCTGCAAGACAGCTCTTAGTCACTCTGTTGATAAGACGGGGTCGGTTGAACTGGTCCTGGAGGGCCCGCAGTTACACTAGCCCTCCTGATCCCCCATCCACGCCCTCTCCTCTGCACCAAACCGCCTCCACCACACAGACACATTCATCACGACACACTGTTCATTCCTGTATCTGAAGGAGACTCCAAGCAATCCCACTCAGTCTCAGCAAGAGAATTAAGTGTCATGCCATCAAGCAGCCATTACATTGTATATAATGACTTAATTGCTCTCTTATGTCCCTAGGAAGATTATAGCCAAGTACCATCCTTGGGAGAATTGGGAAGAATAATCACTCCAATAATTTTCTGTAGGGCTTACTTCTCTTGCAAAACCCCAACTGAGAAAAGCTGCTAGAGGTTAGCCCCTTGGAATGATTGATTCTCCTCAGGCCAAGGAGTCCTTCAAATGACTAACTGAAGCCTCTCCTGCTTTAATTTAATGCCATCTCCCTTTGTTCATCTCCCTCAGACGTGGAGAATTTATTGGCATGTCTCTCACAAAGCGCTAGCATGGCAGGAAATTAAATTCATCTGCTATAATCAGCTGTTCTGAAAGCTTTGCTCGTTGCTCCACTTACTTCATGGTTGCCAAGGGGATTGCAAAGCGATTGATGACTTGTTCCAGGATCTTCCTAGGTACTGATGGTAAGTTTAGACATCAGCGAACCAAGGTATGAATAGAAGAGACCTGCCACGATGCTAAAGGAGACTGTAGACCCAAGGGAAGCAGGAGTATTTAACCTGAAGAAGAGAAGGCTCCGGAGAACTTGAAGGGATTCTTCCAAAAGCTTTCCGACAGTCTTGGGGAAGAAAGAGGAGATTTGCTTTGAGCGGCCTCAAGGGGGCAGACTTAAGATGCTTGGGTAGAAGCCGTAAACACATGGATTTCAGTTCAATAGCTGGAGAGTTGGAGAGATACACACTGGAAAAGGGAGCTGGTGAGCTTGCCTTCACTAAAGATGGCTATTTAAGAGTTTTGGTGGATGCATTGTGTAAGGAGCTGAGTAGACTGTGAGATGTTTCATTCAAAACCACTAACATCCCATCCAGGTATATAACTCAATGATAATGGTAATTTTCAGAATCATCCTTCTTTCTAAGGAACCAGTTTTTGTTCCTTTTTTTCATTTTTTTACACAGCAATTCAAATTAAAAGTAAATTACTCGCTATCCATGTTCAAAGGGTCCTTTCACACATATTATCTGATAAGATAAATATGCATTCTATATATACATTTTGATCCAAAAATAAGATAATAAAAGTAACAGCTAATTTTTTTCCAAGGTAGCATGCTAAGCACTTTACGTGCAATTAATCTTATTTAGTGTTAATGTAACGAGACGATGCTGTACAGAGATAATATTAAGGGCAGACTTTTACAAGCATCATTTAGAAAGAAATCTACAGATGTTTCTCTGCTCAGAGGATCATAAAGATGAAAAGAATCTTGTCTAAGCCAAACCAGAATAAGATTTTCCTAAGCCATCCAACTACCGGTGTGAAGGCATTCCCTGAGACCACAGAGCCCTACTTCTCTTCAAAGATCGGTTCAGCAAATCAAAATGTGGGTTTTTTCCCTGTTTGGCAGACAGGAAACAACAAATCAGTGTCTTAAGGGATTGACAAAACACATAATTAGACACTATCAATCATCATAAAAGAGCCTGCTTTTTCTTACATCAGATAAAGGTGCATTTTGTCTACTAAGACTTTTCCAGTTCCACGAAGCATGAACTCCCTAAGGCCACAAGTACAGTAAGCAGAGCTAGTCAAACTCTTCTGCTGGGAAAAGAAAGGAGAGTGGGCGGTGAAAACATGTGAGCCCAGGAGCAGACCTGGCTCCTAATTTTCTCTGCCCCCTTGGACTGGACACTTGCTTCTATCCTTTAGTTTCCTCATTTGCAAACTGGAGGGGGAGGAATAAACTAAATGATCTATTACACTCATTCCCACTCTAGCTCTCTCTAATCCTATAATTCGAAAAGGAGGTCAAGAGAAGATTCCTGGCTTGAAGACAACATCTTAAAATTCCTACCAGCTTGGTGAAGCAGCAGAGAGAGAGAGATTGTCCATTTGGCAAGGCTGGTGAGCAGAGGCCAGGCACTTCCTCATTGACATGAGCAGTCTTCCTTTCTTTCTTTCCTTTTTTTTTTTTTAAAGATTGGCATCTGAGCTAACAACTGTTGCCAATCTTCATTTTTCTTCCTCCCCAAATCCCCCCAGTACATAGTTGTATATTTTAGTTGTGGGTCCTTCTAGTTGTGGCATTTCCCTTCTTGATTTAGTGTTTTTGGGTTTATTAAAAGGTGTTTCCCAAAATACTAAAAGTTAAACTTTTAAGTGACTTATGTCTATATCTAAATGATCAATTAGTGTTTGTCCTAAAAGTGTTTTCGTTGTTCTTTTTTTGTTATGGGAAGGTTAAATAATATGCTTATTTATTCCATAACTTTACAAACAGGAAGGAGGTTTTAAATGGCTCAGTTCCACAATTCAGGGTAGATGTATATTTAAAGAAACGTGGTTGCATAACAGACACTGCTTCTTCCTAAAATGCATCATACCAGAGCCAATTTTGGAAAACACAAATATGGGGTAGTCATATTTTGAAAACTATGTGAACATAATAGATCCCTAATTAATATTTGTGGCTTTTTATGGGAAATATTTGTTTTGTAGGGCATCTGTGTTGCGAAAACAGTTTCTGCTAGAGAAAGAAGTTAAAGGGGGCATGTGGGTTAAATTTTGTTTCTGAGTTTTCCTTCTAAGAGTAAATGCCTAAGTTACTTCTGTCCTAGAGAATTTTGTTGTTCTGGTAGAGAAGACTAGTTAACAACGTATTCTGAACTACTGAGTAATTTATATAAAGTTCATTTATAATCCATATTTATGTGTCATTTATATGTGCCAAAGCATTTTCATTTATTATTATATCATTTGATTCTCACTCAGCCTGGTGGAAATGACTTTATTCCCCCATTAGAGATGGATGAAGTTAGGCCCCATCTTTGCGATTTGCCTGAGGAAAGTGAGTCAGAAAGCTCCAAGACAGGGGGATCTGCAACCTGGGTATTCCAATTCCTGTTGCAGTACTTCTTCCTGGTCCTCCATTCCTTTTTGTACATGATGATGCAGTACATTGAAAACACTAAAAGATGGGTTTTAGAGTCAGGCAGACCTGGGTTCACCTCCTGCCTCTGACCCTGTGCCCCGAGGCAAATTTTCTTCCTTCTGGAGCCCCATTTGCGAATTAAGCTAAAAATAGTATCCCCCCTACCATGGGACAGTGGGAAGGATTAAATGGAATAATGCATGAAGAGCACATAGCAGAATGTTCCATAAATGTTAACCATTGTTATGTTATTATGCAATCTACAAAGTATGTTTGGCTAACATTGCATGAATTACTTTCAGTTTTTCAAAGATACTACTAATACATGAAATCAAACCCTGAAAATTAATTTCTTTTTAATGGTCAAGTCACACACCAGATGCAAAGGATAGTGTTTCATGGGCAAAGATCCTAGTTTTAAGGCTTGGTCTGACCTTTTTTTAAGGAGAAATTATCTTTTGCTTTCTGTGGTTTCAAAATGTTCTTACTGTTAACAGATTCTTCATAGTCTGAGACATATGAAATTGCCATTTCTAAGTCAGAAACTGCCGAATAGCAGCAATTTCATATGGCCAGCCCAACAGATCAACAAACCACCCAGCAGATGAAAGGATTTTTCTAGTTGCAACGGGATTACTGAAGAAGCTGAGGTTGAAAGAAAAAATGTTCCATTTTCAACACATTTGCATTCCAACAGATAATGGCGTGATGCCACACTCCCAAGAATTAAAAATTGAAGTATACAACTTTCTCCCTCCCTCCCAAAACACATACATGCGCACCCCAGCTCCAAATGAAATCCAAAGGGGAAAACTGTGTGTCTCAACGCTTGCGAATCCCCAGGAGGGCACCGAAAGTGCTTGACAGCGAGCGTGCTAAGGAAATCGGCAGCTGTTGAAGTCACCTCCTGTGGTCTTGCCAAACGTTTGAAAGGGAATATGCTGTGTGTCCGTCCGTGCGTTCGTGTTCCGTGGGGGGAGGAGCGGGAGGTCTGGAGTGCATGGGTGATGGGTTTGGAGTACCTGGATGGGGACGTCCGTGTCTGTGGCGCTCCGCATACCTCCAAAGTGAGCGTTTGTGTGTTGTTTACTTTTCTGTGTGGGAGCTTCTAGGCGCTTCTGTGCTGGTTTCTGGCGGCGTCTCAGTGTTGGACAGGGGTGACTTTGTGTTTGTCGGTTTCTGTACGCGCGCGCGCGCGCTGGTCGGTGCGCTGGACGGGTGTGTCTCAGTGTTGGTGCTGTGGTTCCGTATAAGTCTGAGCATGTCTGTCGGGGTGCATGTGTGCCTGTCCGTGCCTGTCTCAGTGGGCGTTCTGGGCTCTGGTTCCGAATGTGGGGGAGATCTCTGCCCTGAGACCCCGAGCCGCATAGGCGCCCAGGGCAGACAGGTAGCAGCCACCGAAGAGCCGAAAGCTCTCGGGTTGGCTGGGAAGCAGGCCGGCTCGCGCTGCAGCTCTCGGCGCAGCCAGGGGAGCCGGAGGAGAGCTGGAGGGGAGCGGGGCCGGCCCGCCCGGGAGCCGCTGAGCAGCTGAGCCGCGCCCGGGCCCGCACCGGGAGTGGGAGGGTGAGGGGAGCGCAGGGGAGGGAGGGGAGCGAGCCTCGCCCCTTTGGGGCTGCCCGCGCGCCATTGGCGGAAAGTTCTCGCACGTCACGGGGAGGGCAGCTCCCGTGGAGTCCTGTGCACATAACGGGCAGCGCGCACTCCTAGGCGGCTTCTCCAGAGCGCAGGCTGGGAGCGACCGGCCCCGCGAGCCCGGAGCACCCACCCGCGGAGTGCGGCACGCGCCCCCAGCACACGCACCCCACGGCCGCTGAATGAGGCTTCCAGGCGTCCGCTCGCGGCCCGCAGCGCCCCGCCTGAGGTCCGCCCGCTGAGGCGCGGCCGGTGCGCCGGCAGCCAGTGCACTCACCTGCCAGCCCGCGCGCCATGGGGCAACCCGGGAACGGCAGCGTCTTCTTGCTGACGCCCAACGGAAGCCACGCGCCAGACCAAGATGTCACGCAGGAACGGGACGAGGCGTGGGTGGTGGGCATGGCCATTGTCATGTCGCTCATCGTCCTAGCCATCGTGTTTGGAAACGTGCTGGTCATCACAGCCATCGCCAAGTTTGAGCGTCTGCAGACGGTCACCAACTACTTCATCACTTCCCTGGCCTGTGCTGACCTGGTCATGGGCCTGGCGGTGGTGCCCTTTGGGGCCAGCCACATCCTCATGAAAATGTGGACTTTCGGCAACTTCTGGTGTGAATTTTGGACTTCCATTGACGTCTTGTGCGTCACGGCCAGCATTGAGACCCTGTGCGTGATCGCAGTGGATCGCTACTTTGCCATCACGTCGCCTTTCAAGTACCAGAGTCTGCTGACCAAGAATAAGGCCCGAGTGGTCATTTTGATGGTGTGGATCGTGTCAGGTCTTACCTCCTTCTTACCCATCCAGATGCACTGGTACCGGGCCACCCACAAGGAAGCCATCAACTGCTATGCCAAGGAGACTTGCTGTGACTTCTTCACGAACCAAGCCTATGCCATTGCCTCGTCCATCGTGTCCTTCTACTTGCCCCTCGTGGTCATGGTCTTTGTCTACTCCAGGGTCTTCCAGGTGGCCAAAAGACAGCTCCAGAAGATCGACAAATCTGAGGGCCGCTTCCATGCCCAAAACCTCAGCCAACTGGAGCAGGATGGGCGGAGCGGACTTCGAAGGACCTCCAAGTTCTGCTTGAAGGAACACAAAGCCCTTAAAACTTTAGGCATCATCATGGGCATTTTCACCCTGTGCTGGCTGCCCTTCTTCATCGTCAACATTGTGCACGTGATCCAGGATAACCTCATCCCTAAGGAAGTTTACATCCTCCTAAACTGGCTGGGCTATGTCAACTCCGCCTTCAATCCCCTTATCTACTGCCGGAGCCCGGATTTCAGGATTGCCTTCCAGGAGCTTCTGTGCCTGCGCAGGTCTTCTTTGAAGGCCTATGGAAATGGCTACTCCAACAACAGCGACGGCAGAAGTGATTGCACGGGGGAACAGAGTGGAAATCAACTGGGTAAGGAGAGGGACAGAGAACTGCTGTGTGAGGACCCCCCAGGCACAGAAGACTTTGTGAACTGTCAAGGTACTGTGCCTAGTGATAGCGTTGATTCACAAGGGAGGAAGTGTAGTACAAATGACTCAGTGCTGTAATGCGGTTTTTCTACTTTTTAAGACCCCCCCCCCCCACCCAACAAAACACTAAACAGACTATTTAACTTGAGTGTAATAAATTTAGAATAAAGTTGTATAGAGATGCGCAGGAGGAAGGACATCCTTCTGCCTTTTTTTTTTATTATTATTTTTTTAAGCCGTAAAAAAGAGAAAACATATTGGAGTGATTATTTGTTTCTTGTACAGTTCAGGTCCTTTTTGCATGGCACTTGTAAGTTTATGTCTGAAGGGCTTCAGTCCCAGAGGACCTGGGACTGCCATGTTTTGATGACTTTTCCGTGTATCTACCTCATTGGTCAAGTATTAAGGGTAATATATTGCTGCTGGTAATTTGTCTCTGAAGGAGTCTTTCCTTCCTGCACCCTTGGACTGGAGGATCTTGAGTATCTCGGACCTTGCAGCTGTGAATACGGACTCTCCCCGCTCCTCTGATTTGCTCAAACAGGGTGTCGTAGGCAGGAGTTGGAGGGGCAGCTTCACTTGTTTTCCTGAGCAAAGTCTAAAGTTTACAGTAAATAAATTGTTTGACCATGACTTCATTGCACCTGTTTCTCCAAAACCCCTTGACTGGAGTATGGTTGCCTCCCCCACTGGAAACCGCAGGTAACTATTTGTGATAACTGTCCAGTGACTTAATGTGGAATGACAGGCACTGATTGCTGAACCCTTTCGTTTGTCTTTGAATCTGCAAACCTGTCTCTCTCCTAACACTAGCGCCCCAAATCAGTTCCGCCTGCCCCCAGCGGAGCTCATCTCACTCACCCTACGGTTGTTGTTCTGTGTTGTGACATCAGAAACACTGACTCATAGAAATGGAGTTATGGGCATCTGTTTTGTCCCTCCATGAGCCCCACCACCCACCTTCTAGTTCTGCTTGTTGAATAAGCTGCTTATGTGTATGTCTTTGCCGTGTCTTAGAGTGGAGATCTTTGTATTACCTCAGGGTTTGGCATTTTAAGGATAAGGAAGAAGTTCTTGTGGAAAACCTGCTCAAACAGAGCCCCGTAATTCCAAGGGAGAGTCAAAGGACATTGGTCATAGGGCGAAAAGCTGGAAAACAGTTAGCTGAGGGATACCTCGTAACCTAGAAACAGGATTTTAAGCCTTCCTCGTTCTTTACTTCTGTCCGTTTTTTCTCTCTCCCTTTGACTCTCCTCACTTCGGTATAAACCAAGATTTCTCACCCTAGGCACTATTGACATTTGGACCAGGTGATTCTCTGTGATGGGGGCTGTGTCCCGTGCATTGTCAGATGTTAAGCAGCATCCCTGGTCTCTGCCTGTTAGGTGCCCGTAGTACCCCCTGAGTTGCAGCAACCAAGAATGTCTCCAGACATTGCCAAATACGCGTTGAGGGCTGAAATTGCTGCTGGCTGAGAACCACAGATATAAACTTCAAAAATTGAAGCAGATTTTTAGATCTGTCTCATGTGACCTCTTTATTTTGCAGAGCCCCAGAGAGGCATTTTTCATGGTCCACCCAGTTAGTGACAGACCCTGGGCCACTGCTCTACCCGCTCCCTCGTGCTGCCTCCCAAACTCACTTGCCGGCTGCCCAGATACTGACCATGAGATTGAATTGTTTGGGAGCATTTATCAGTGGAGGCGAGGCCTGTGAGTCGTTACTGCCTGTTTGTGGAGAAATTATAATACTGTTAAGAGGCACATGAGGGAAAATCACAAAAGTAAACACATTTCTTCTCCCACCCCCTTTCTATTTTTGCCCGTGTGTCTGAGCCAGAGCTTGGCCCAGGTTTGACTGAGTGGACCGTCCTCCTTGGCAACGCCATCCTGGCGAGGATCAGCCTGCAGGGTTCGTTGCCATTTCACTTGCTCATAAAGCTGACTGCACTTCTCTCTTCCCTTCTGTCCCAGCCAATGTCCCCAACCAGGCAAGCACTGGCCTCCCCCACTTCCTGTCAGCTCAGTGATGGGTGTCTGGGTGAGCACTGAGCTCTCGGGGGAAAGTTAGGAGCCTGTTTTTGGAACGTGCCGTGGCGAATTGGAGAGTGTGTGCCATTCAGCACTTTTCCTTTTTCTCCAAGGGCTTTCATACCTATTATCACATTCTCCTTCTCTTGCTCTGGGCCCCACTCCCAGAGTGGCATGCGGCTTCTCCAGCTAATCTTCACACTCCTAATAGCCTCATGGGATCTCGGACTTGGAAAAGCCCGTAGAAAGTATTTGACATCTGAAGAGACCAAACGCCTGCAAGGGGAATGACCTGCTCAAGGTAAGAAGCCGAGGATGTCAGAGACCGAGCTACAGCCAGGGGACCTGGCGGTCGTTCCAGGAACTGGTGTATTCTCTCCAGCACAGCGTCGTTGAACTCTGCCCTCACCCTAAATTGTGGAAGCTTTTCCTTGGGGCTGTCACATGGTTTTATTGCTTTTGGTCCTTAAAACCAAATTCAGGCAGTAAACAAATAATCTTCAATAGGGACAAGAGAAAGAGTTGTTCTTTTAGAGTCTGCTAGGAAATCCTCAGCATTTAGCAAAGGTAGGAGATTCCTTAACTCTTTATGACCTGCCAGGAATTTCAAGCCACTCCAGGTAGAAATGACAAAAAAAAAGTTGGAAACTTTCCTGTCATCATTTGTAAGTCCCTTGAACAATAGGTATTATTAATAAAATAAATGCTGTCTATATGCTGTTTTCATTAGAGGCGCATCTAACATAATTTCAGTTAAAATTCAGCTATGAATGTTAATTCAGATTCCCAGCTAGAGAGGAATTTAGCCATATTCCTGTCCCTTTAGGAATACTTTCAATACAATAACTTTGATCAGTTTTGAGGGTCTTGAGAAGCAAGAGCGTTTTAGGCATGTCTCAATCCCCTGCCCTCCATCTCTTTTCGTTTTGCTTTGTTTCTTTTGGGGGTAGGCATTTGTCAGTGTTCCTCTGTCCCTCTGTTTGCTGACAGGTTGGTTACATAAGGTTTGTGTTGGGTTCATCGTCATAAAGTTTTCTTTGCCTGGACAGCAAGTTCTGAGTCTGTCAAATGAGACTCTTGTCCTGAGATGCAAGCTGACAGGTGTGCAAAGCGGAAGGACAGGGTGGGTCTCCGTGCTGAGAGCGTTATTGGGGGAGGGAATCTGGGGAGAAGGGAGCTTAGAAATGGGAACTGTCATTACAGGATGCTTAGAATGTTTCTGATGAACCTACTGCCCAAAGAAGCCTAGACAAGGGGCCAGTGCCGTGGCCGAGTGGTTAAGTTTGCGCGCTCCGCTTCGGCACCCCAGGGTTTTGCCAGTTCAGATCCTGCGTGCAGACCTAGCACCGCTCATCAAGTCATGAGGCGGCATCCTACATCCTACATAGCAGAACTAGAGGGACCTACAACTAGAATATACAACTATGTACTGGGGGGCTCTTGGGAGAAAAAAAAAGAGAAAGATTGGCAACAGATCTTAGCTCAGGGCCAATCTTTAACAAAATAAAAAAAGAAGCCTAAACAAGAATCAGTTGGGGAGGCATATTTATGGAGCACCCACTATGTGCAGCATGAGAAAAGTATAGGCTTCAGTCTCTGCCTTCTGTGGCATAATATTAATAATACTAAACAGATCCCTTTTATGGAATCTAACTAAAATTTAGGGACTGTGCTAGGCACCTTTCAGACACTATGTCATCTTGACAGCCTTATGATGGAAGTGGCATAATTGTCCTCGTCTAATAAATGAGAAAACTGAGGCTCAGAAGGGTTAAGTAACTTTCCAAAGCCACACAAGCAGCTAGTTGCACAGTCAGGACTGGAACCTGGGTCCATGTGAGTCCAGCGCCCATGGAGCCCAGCACACATGCAAACCAGGAAGCAGCACGAGGCAGCTTATAATTTGTGCCAGAACAAGTGTAAGAACTGGAAATGCAATACCTTGTTGAGAGAAGAGGGAGACTGCTGTGGGTGGCGGCCGGGAGGAATGTTCCCTTCGAAGCATGTGACTGCGGGGTTGCTGGGGACTGGGGCAGGAAACCAATCGTTGAAGGGCCTGGTCTGATTCTCTGAGTCTTTGCTTTGTCTTTTCATCAGAGCATCAGGCCAAACTGAAAAGAGAATCTGAAACTTTAAAACAAGCACAGTGCCGAGCAGAAACACAGCCCACCTCACGTTCTGGCAAATTCATTTTTGGTTCCGAAGTTGGAAAGGTATCCTAAATTGAGCAGTTAGCTGGACCTTATGGAAAATTCGTCAGGCCTGGGAGGCCCTAGGAGTGTGCTGTCCGTTTTGAGCTAGTATTCTGGGGTAAGAGAGGTGATCTTCTGACAACGGAGAGCAAGGGGTCGTTCATGCACTTTCAAGAGACTTCATTGGCAGGATAACGTCCAGTAAATTCAGCCCTGCACTAATCCCTACTTCGCTTTCAGTGCAAATATAACTTGAAGGAGGAATTTTTGAAATACCTAAGAGAGTAAACTTCCCAAGCACTTTCAAGAGCTTGAGAAATACTGGTGTCTTATGAATAATAGGAGGCAGGGTGAGGTGAAAAGGGACCTGGACGGGGACTCATGCAGCCAGGTTTCAGGGCTCACCTTGGCTTCTCTCCTCTCTCTCTCTCACGTTGGGTAAGGCATTTTCCTCAGTGCACCTGTTTGCTCATCTGTGAAATAATGAGGCTGCTGCATGTGGTCTCTAAGCTCCGCTCAGCCCTGAATTTATAGTCATTAATTTAGAGGCTAATTAGAGACAGCAGTTTGTGTTTCTAATTAGAGTTGATGACATTTGTCATATAAAGAATGGTTGAGTATCCTGGGGGTGGTTAGCTTGCAGAAGAGAATGCTATGATGGAAGACTATTTGGTGCATGATAAGTGCTTTCAAATATCTCAGGACCAACCATCTGGGAAAAAGGATCATATCAGTTCTGGATGAGTATCGGAAGGCGAGCAGCACCTTACAGGAAGGTAGATTCCAGCTCAGGTGAAGGAAGACTTTTCTGAGTGAAATAGGTTATCTATCGGAATAGTGAGCCTCCTGTCATTGG